GAATTGTGCCATAAGACAAATATATTCGCTTCAGCAACTTTTCAAGGCGCTGATTTACCCAGTTATGTCTGTTTGAAAGGCTCAAGCAGTCACCCATAGCACAAGTACTGTACACGTCACCTGCCATGTGATACGCTACAACCAATAAGAGCGGATATTTTTCGTATTCTAACAGCACTATACAAAAATGTGTATATCAGCTGTGCTAAAAAAAATGTATTCTTAAGGCGAAAACCAGGAATTAGAGAATTTTTTTTTTTGTTGAAATTATTGATTATAAATCTAATTACATGTCTGTATATATAAAAGAACTGTGATTAAACAAAAGTAATTATGCATTTTAATTAATTTTTGGTTAAAGATTATGTAATTTTAGAATTAAAATTTGGATTCTACAGTAGAAAGGAATTTTCCATTGTTTAAAGCTTAGCGTCTTATGGTCATATTTATATATATGTATATGTGTATGTATATGTATATATATATATTATACATATTATGTATATTATTATTATTATTATTTATCTTGATATATTTCAACTTGATTTGAATATTATTTACTATGATTTTGAAGTTGCAATATAGATGTATAGATGTATATGTATAGATATATAGATAATATATGTATATATATATATGTATATATATATANNCTGTCTCTTATACACATCTAGATGTGTATAAGAGACAGATCCCAATCTAATAGTAGGTGTATATCATTTTATTCAGAAATTTAAATATACAGTAATGGCAAACTGATACAAAAGTCCATACACAGATAAAATTTAGCAAGTTTTTCTTGATGTTTTAGGAGACTCAAGCCAAGAACTTGAAGTAGAGTAGAGATCACAGCTTTTTCCCCCCTAATTGAGTCGTGACTCACACAAGTTTTTTTTAATTATTTTTTAAAATTTATGTTTTTTCCTGGTGAAAAAAAAGGTGGTTACTCTACAGTATACCCCTTCCCTCCCCCAAGTTTTTAAATATTCAAAAATCTCTTATCTTCTGATTTTCAAGCTTTTCATCAAACACCATTTTGTGTCTGAAGCATGGCTTTACAAAATGTTGTCTGTTGATTTTATGGTCATATTTTTGTTGTCAGTAAAATACGTTCCGGGAATTTTTATTGTTATACAAGATGTACTTTGAGATAAAAACACTATGAAGCATCCTTATGGTTGTTCTATATTAAGTGATAATATACTGCTGTACCATGTGGTCATTCTGTTAAAAGTTGTACCATATTGTACAACAACAGAATGTAACACTATAAATTTATAAATCACAGATAATTTGTCATAAATGGAATCGGCGGTGTTTTCAACTTCTGTGGAACAACGCCAGGGGTTTTTTTCAGAGTGCCGTCAATTCGACCATCGCTTTTCTTTACTGTCCATGGTTGTGTTTTGAGGTCTCCAGACTTTATTCCACATTGATTTAGGTTTCATCGTTAAATGTTCAGAAATTGTATTCAGAAATTTATGTTCATATTACATTCAATATGAAGAAATAATATAATTCATAATCACGCCGTCATTTATAAATCACAGATAATTTGTCATAAATGAATCGGCAGTGTCTCCAACTTATCTGGAACAACGCCAGGGGTTTTTTCAGAGTGCCGTCAATTCGACCATCGCTTTTCTTTACTGTCCATGGTTGTGTTTTGAGGTCTCCAGACTTTATCTCCACATTGATTTAGGTTTCATGGCTAAATGTTCAGAAATTGTATTCAGAAATTTATGTTCATATTACATTCAATATGGAGAAATAATATAATTCATAGTCACGCCGTCATTGGGGACAAATTTGTTGACACACTGATTGAGTAAATTGCAACTTGCGGCAAAGTTTTATCCTAAAATATGTTTACTCTAGAAACTATATTAGTTCCAGAAAATTACATTAACTTTGCAGAAAAGGCTGTAGGCATGTCTCTTTCTCTCTTATGGCTTGCTTTATAACTTTCTTCTTACTATTGTGAGAAATATGTTTTTTTTGTTTTAATAAAAATAAATAAATAATCCTAAAAAGTATTAAACTTTCAGATTTGGCAAAATCTACTCCCCATCAATGATGTATCTAGGGGAGGGTACTTCACTTCCCACATCAGCACCACCCCCTCCCCATTTCAAGACTTCTAGATGCTCCACCACTTTCCATTACAATAAATATTGAAGTCCCTTGCTTTAAATTCTTCAGTTAATAATCAGTTCACTATACTTATCAGTTTCATCGCATGCTAGCAGTCAATATTCATAAATTCTTAACTGTACATGTAAACAAATTTGAATCAGGTGTTGATTTTCTTTTATACAAAGATATAAAAAAACCAATTATTCATGTTTAATTTATACATAATATGTTAATGTTTATTCTTGTTGTTTTTACAGGCGAGGGCGGTCTATCTATGCACCAACGCCGTCACCATCATTTGGACCAAAGGCATGTCTTAAAAAAGTTCATCCTTCACAGATAATGTAAGTTTTTAATACATGTTTTTCTAAAAATTGATTGTCAAAATTTAGATAATTGTACTTCTAAATGCTGACCATTATTGTGTATTAAAATAGAAAGTATTAAACTTTTTAAATCAGAATATGTACAGTATTGTTCTATTTATTTTACTATACCTCATAAATATTAATTGGGCAATGAGAAATTTCATTGGTCAATTCCACCTGGTAAGGGGTGCTTTAGTTTCTATAACTCAACTGCATGTGCCAAATTTACGCGTAATTGAGGAAAAAAGTTCTACCTTAAATTGACTACCGCAGCTATGGCTCTTCTGTCTACATGAACCATAATGCAGACTGCGTAATTTTATCCTCAGAGAATGAAACGGTTAAAATTGGAACTACCTCCCTCCACTTTGCATCGGGAGGCAGTCCAAATCCTCCAACACCTCAAGAAGTAGTATTAACTACTTTACCTCAAACAATGTTTGTTTATTTATTTATTTATTATTTATTTATTCAGGAAAAAACTTGCATAACAAAACAAAGAATACAATCTACAAAAGAAATTAGTTCCTAGCAAGGTAACCACAACAAAATGTCACTATCATCAGCAATGATGTGAACCTCCACCTACAATTTATACTAACAAAGAGATTTAAATTAAATAATAGCCAATAGCACACACATTAATTGAATATTGCCAAATACAATAGTAAATATGATAGTTGATATCATAAATTAATTGGCAATTTAGATAAAATTCAAAAATTTGTGTACACGTGATTAACATTATCCTGTTTCATTAAAGTTATATCAGTCGCAATAAATGTTCATTGAATAGCATGGCCTCTATATATAAATTATCTAAAAAAAAATAATTTTTAACTTATATGTTTCAACTTTTAAATATTAGTGCGTCTTTAACTTCAATCTGTAAAGTATTTTGCGCTGTCAGTTCTGGATTTCAATCTCTTAAATGAGATTTTTTTGCAGTATCAAGGATTAACAGTTAATAGGCTAGTAAAGTACTCATTATTTTGCAACAATAGCTTGCAAACAAAAAAGTACTGTGGAAAGATCACGTTCGTTCTGAGTGGTCATCATTTTCAGATTTAATAAACGTTCATTGTATGATTCCTCAAACCGTTTCTGATGAAGTATCATCCGAGTTGCTCTACATTGCACTTGCTTGATTAGAGTTATTTGCCCTTCCCTGTATGGGTACCATATCGTCGAGCATTATTGCAAAGGTTGTACCAAATTTGAGAAGAGCTTTGATAGTACATACAGTTAATGGACATTGTGATACTAATGTATAATGTTGCATGGGACAAGCAGAACTTTATCTGTTGCAATAAAATTTGCCAATGTAAATTCTAAATGATTGACATTACAGGCATGTGACGGACCCATCCAGTCAAGTGCTGATGTGGAAAGTGAGCGCTCTCTCCGTGCTCGTTATCAAGAAGATTTATGATGAAAGCGTAATAGAACCTTTTAAGGTGCTCGTCACTTTCCTATCAGAGGTAAGCTTAGATCCAGTTTTCCAATTACATAATAACAACAAAAATATAAAATAATAAATTTATTAAACATTTAAGTACTTTAAACAATACGATTAATATAATATGATTATATGACAAGTACGTATAGAAGTTGATGGCTTGTCTTATTGTGCAGTTTATTGTTCCATGAATCATAATAAAAAAAAAAAAAGATTAACTTTGTTTTAATGGACAAATAGAGTACATCTTTAAGGACACCTGAGAATACAAGAAACATACAATATAGTCCTGCATTATTGGTGTTTCTTTGCTATGAAACTTTTTGACATACTGTAAATTAAAAATTTGATTATCTGAATAATTTGTAAAGTACAAACCTTTGAATATTAGGAAGGGAATGTTAAATTCTGGTTTTGGAGGTAGCATATTATTCTGTAAGATTTTCCCCAAGACCCCATCACAGATTCAGTGACGGATTCAAGGAGGGATGGGGAACGAGCCAGCACTGGTCCTCAAGTTTGTAAAAAAAAAATGAAAATAACCATCAAAATTGGGTCTGAGAGTGTTATTTCCGGTGTTATATAATCATAAATTTTCTTACCTCAGCCCAACCATGGCAGGGTTGAGTGGTCTAGACTCCCCATCTGTGAAAGTCCTTCTTTGGGCCCCTCCCCCTCCTCTGTATTTCAGAATTTTGGATCTGCCTCTGAAATTGTTATTGAAATGAATTTGTAGACCTAACGACGAACACAATGGACCATGGTGTTTGATTTTGACTTTGTACCAGTTTTACATTCATGTCGCGTTCAATTTTCTTTATGAAGCTATTTCAAATTTATAGTTCTTTAGGTCAAAATGGTTTGTAATTATGCTTTTAAACGTTGCCAAGTATAATCCCTGGGTGATCATCAGAAATATATGAATGCTTTACATGTTGAACAAGCATGTTGCTACATGTTAATCAGGCGGAAACAATCACTATTAAAAAAAACTATGGTTTATATGCAGATGGCAAACTTTCATGTCATTACTTGAACGTTATTATTTTTTTTAGTAGACATAACTGAAATATGTAAGCTATTTTTAGCAAATAATTAAAAAAGACAGTAAATTGTACATGAATATCCAGGTAAAGGCAGCTCTTTTGTTTTTAAAGTATATTCGGAATTATAAATATTAATATTATTGTCGTTGTGCTGCTGTGCTTCCGTCGTCGTCATCGTTATTTTCAAACACTTTAAAAATAAGCTTCACCTTTTTTTCAACTTGACTAATTACTGAGTAAAAAATCAAAGTTTTTCTTGTAAAATTATTAATGCTTACAATTAAATTCCAAAAATATAAACAATATTGTTCGATGGAGGTTGTATGGCCAAGGTCATACATGCCAAGGCTCACGTTTTCGAGGTCTCTCACTTAAATGTAATAATATTGCCTATAATAAAAAGTATATATAAGTTGTAGCTCTCTCGCTATCATCATATGCTGTACTTAAATAGGTTTGGTTTTGTTATTACACATTCAAGCAAAAGGTTAACTTGGGTTTGCTTTCTATTTTAAGTAAAATTCTCAACCAATCAAATGGAGCTCCCTACAATATCTTAGGCTGGGCAATATGTTGCACGTGTTTAACAGTTTTTTGAAAGAGTAAATCATGTCAGATACAAATTCCTCAGAGAATCTTACAATCAAGTTGGCAACTTACAACCAATGGACCAGCACATATTTTGTTTGATTTCCTCTTAAGAAATTTTTAAAAAGACCAAATCTGCAACTTTATAACAAAGAGCATGGCTAGAACTAAAAATGTTTAAAGATTTTCTTTTTTCTGATGTCTCTTTCATTAAAACAGTATTATCATAATTTGACATTTTTTGATGGTATGTCATATCTTCTTTATTTAATAAATTTTGATAAGGGTCGGTAGAAATTCAAAAATTATCTTATTATATTTTCGATCAGATCAGATCTTATCAAACTAGCTGTATCAAAGATCAAAGAATGCACTGCCAGCTGCCACATGTGTGGCTCATGTCAATGGGAGGCTTGTGGACAACAGAAACATGCACTAACAAAAAACAAAATAAATGCGGATTCATTTTCCAGTTGTAAAAATACAAACATGAACTGGCAAAGAATGAATTTCCATGTGACTAGGGAAAAATACATTTCAGGAGGTGGGGTGATTCCCCTGACACCACTCAGAGGGAGGGGTGTTTAGATGCAGTTTACTGTACAAAGCATAATGTCAACAAACTTTACTAAACAGTAGGCCTAAATCTTAAATTTTAGTAGGAAGGATGGTAGTGTGAAAAAGCTATTTAGGAGGGTGGGGATAACTGGTGTGGGATACACTACCAGTCAAAACTGCAATCATATGGTAAATCTTGCTCTGTGTTGGGCACATGATAGTTGATAGTAGTTGACGACAAACCTTCAAAATTTTTGATAAAGTAAATTTAACTAGCATTACTGTATATTTTATACAGTCTCTGTATTATTTAATAACTAATCCAAAGTTGATAAATCTCTGTATATTATGGGAAACCAAGTAACAATAGGCCTATTGTGTTTCCCTGCCTTTGCTAAATTCCTATGTTACAGTAATGCATAGTGGACTTTCTCGTGTGGTATATTTCCTCATTGGCTGGCCCAAATTCATGTTGGAAGTCTGTATACTGTAGTAAGGAGAGAGATTAGAAAGACGGAGTATTACAGGCCTGGCCAGATCCAGATTGTTTAGACTTTTTTTCAAAAGTGGGGAGGACACCAAATTTTCAGAATAGATACTGTAATTGTGGAGTGCTATTCAACACTGGTGTTAAATAAGTGGGGGTCCAGAATGGTGTTAAATAAGTGGGAGTGATGGGGCAGAATCCATATTGAAACATTCTGTATTTGTAGTGTCTTCATTTTTTTTTTCAATACATGGCATTGGTATGCATTGAAAACTTTTCCATGCCCCCAATTGAATCTGCCTGTGATTAGGTACAGTATCAATTTTTAGTCTGAAGACTCAATCTCTCAAGCCTGCTCTACAGTATTTGGCACTGTCCAGAAAAAAAACCACCTTCCCATTGATATATGGTCAGGATGGGATGCCATCATGACTATATTTAGAAATGTTCACATGTTTTTATGCCAAATAAAATTTTGATAGTCAGCAAAGGGCTTTAAAATAGTAATAATGTTTCCTTGATCATTTAATTCTACTGTTTTGTATAGGATAATCCACTGTGAATAAATCTGTGTCTTCAGTTCTATTGAGTGAAGGCTTAGTATTGTGTATTGTTCATTATTTACATTGTCTGACTGCTATTCAATTTCCCTACTGAATTAACTTTTTTTTTTATTGAGGTAGTTTTGAATCCGTACTATACCTTGATCAATCAGATATCAAGGTTCAATCAATCTCAATATTTTCATATTATTGTTCCTGGTTACCTTTTTGTTTCCCTTGTTTTAGGAAAAGAATTTAGTGGTTTTTGTGGAGGCTGGTGTCCAGAAGGAAGAAAGTATAGTCCAAGATGAAAACTTCTCCCGAATTCGCAATAAAATGAAAACTTTTAAAGAAGGTGAATTTTATGTTTTTAATTGAAATTATTTCTATATTTAATACGATACATTATTTAATTTTTAAAATATACATAATGCCTCTAAATATAGTTTGGTATATGAAATGTAATGTCCATGGATACATTACAGGATTACATTAAAAATATTCTACCAATTATTTCATCCTTTTAACCTCATAAATACACATGAAAATTATAACATCCTTACATGCTGATTATTAGATTTTTAAATACTGTACATACCATTTTGTGTCTTTTAATTTGATTAAATTTGATTTCTGTATTCATCGTAAAACTGTATCATCATACATGTTGATTGTCTTTTTGAATCGCTTGAATTTCTGGCCGCAAGGATTTTCTCACTGAGAAAGTCTGTTAAATTTAAAGGATTTTTTTTATCTGTGAGGTATTTAAAGTTGTTGTGTTTTTTTGTTTGAATGGATAACATTTCTATTTATTTCTGATGTTTTCTCTTTAATTTTTTTTTTTGGTGGTATTATTTTATTGAACACCTCAAAGGTGCTCATTATTATTATAGTCATAATCATTACGGTATCATAATCACAGTACTCACAATTAATATTTGTGTGTTCACAGCTATAAATGTGTAAACGCTATATTTGTGTGGGAAAAATATCCAGAACGTTTGTTTACAAATATACTATTTATATTATTAGTCGGCCTGATGTGTAAGCCAGGAAAAAGGCACTAGACTCTTTGGTAGGAAGTCGTAAATGCTGCCTTGCAACTCTCACAAAACAAAAGTCATTAAGTTTTGTTTTTCATATTTTCATATTTTGAAATATGGAAATCCAAATAGAGGGCATATTATATTGAAGTAACAAAACTTTTATCTGATGGTGTTAATAGTCCAATCCCAAATGATTAATGTGTACCCTCCATGCAGAGATTAATATTTATTATTTTTAAAGATTTTGATCTTTGCCCATTTTAAAAGATATTAATGTGTATATCTACAGTACTAGGTAAGGCGACTCTTTTTTTATTCCTTGTTTTGCGTACTTATTTTTTTGAAGATCATTGGAGAAGGGCAGAAATAAAATTTTGTTTTCTTATATTTAGCAAATAGTTTTGCCAAAAACATCCAGACGGAGTAGAAAATAAAAGTAAAATTTTATTGGTGAATGTAAAATACGATGGTTAAATGCTTCAAATTTATATAATTGGGAAGAATTATACATATCGTATCTTTGGAGATTTCAAGGCAGTGGAGGGTGTAATAAAAATAAAGAAAAAATTCTTTTTTTTCCCCTGAAATTTTAATTTTTTTGTGGCGGCGGGTGCGTTAATTGGCCAAAAATGAAATTTTATTTTTATTCGAAATCATTAATAATTGCACTAAACAAGGTATGAAAAAAATCTCACCAAACAATAAAAAAAATTAATAATGTCATTAGGAGACTTTATCTACATTGTCGCTTTAAATTGTTGTCGTTGAACCAATCCACTTCTAACCTGATTCACATCTACATGATTTGTTTTGTATAGAGTACATTAATTGTAGCGGCACTAAAAGCAGGCGGAGCGGGCTTTGAAATTTCGTATCCATTTAGAGCATTCCTTCACGTAATCAATTATGTTAGATTGGTCTGTACTGAAATTTAATTAATTCAGTACAAAATTTACAAGGGAATTTAACGTTGACATATACTTTGAATACTGATTTTAACTAACAGAATAGTGTTAGCGATTGTTTATCTGTATTGAACTGTTGAGCGACTCCGCTTAGAGTCTGTATACGATGAATCTAAAGAATAATTTATAATGCATCCAGCTTTGAATTTTTCTGTAGAATTTATAGCTCTACAGTGGCTTTATAGAGCGAAAAGAAAATTTTTTCACCGAAATATGTGTTGCCTCTTGTCATGCGGTCCTAACTCTCCTGCAAGTTGCTGGAATCCCAAGATCGCAAACCCATCCTGAAACTAGCTGCTCCCACAAATTCATTAATATTTTTTTTTTTACTATAAAGTATTATAAATTGTTTTCCGGATTTTAGCTGGTGATAATTATCACCATGCACAGCAAAATCAAGTTAGATGTGTATTAAGAAACCTCATTTAAGTGGCCTCTTCCAGGTTGGGACCCCTGTGATGAACATTAGCATAAAACACTGTACACGTTTTATATTTAGCTCATACACTGGATTAAACAGTTTTACCCATAATAAACCAACTGGTCTATGAAAGACTGCCACTAGATTGAAGAAAATGCATACACTTTCTTTTTATCAATATAGGCTATGTTAAATCACACCTGCCTGTGCAGTGGTAAAAATCCTACCAAATGAAGATAACCAGATAAATAGAAAACCAGTACTCAACAAAAATGGTTGCATAGAATACCGCGATAATGTTTTTTTTTTTTTTACTTTTAATGATGGTAAATATTCTTGTTATTAAACTGACCAATCAGCCATGTTTGTTTTGGTAAGCAGAGTCTATTGTTTTGCGAACCAGCTGAATGAAAATAATACTCAGCCAAAAGTCATGGTCAGCAAAAGGAACCAGCCAATCTAAAGAAAAACAATTTCGCTTTCACAATAAACATACAGGAAACTAGGATACAATAATTTCTAGATCTCAGTATGAAGCTTAAAGGTACAGTAATTGAGCAGGAAATGATGTGTACAGCAAAGGATCATGAACCAGGATTAGAAAACAACCAAGGCTATACTGTAGTATACAATAATACTTTGTTAATATACTATAGTTTAAGAGATCCAGAGGTGACGGAACTAGGGGGTGCTGTGTTATGGAGAGTAATGTTTGACCGGAAATGGTCTGCAGTCAGGTGGTTGTTACCGTGTGCCAGTGATGTTGGAGTATATAGTACAGCAATTTGAAACTATTATGTAGGCCTAATGAATGAATAAAGTTCGGAGTTTGTCGGGTTGAGTGAAATGATTATTTCACATTTTAAGTGCTCCCTAAATTCATAAGTGTAAGCTAAATTACGGTGATTAATTTAATTAGCGAAGATATGGAGACAATTATTTCGAATCCTTCTTTCCAAGAGGGGATGCAAATGCTTTGTGAAAATGAGTATGCCGCGGTGTACTCATTTTCACAAAGAAATACACACAACTGGTCAGCTAACAATTATGTCAATGTTACATGAACACCTGGGAAGGAAGGTGCAATCACGTTGTTACCTAGCAAACGTCTGTACTGTATGGGGGGGGGGGCCCTACTGATGTACTGTGTAGCGGGGGACGATGAGGCATAAGACTAGGCCTAGGCCTAACTAAGACCGTGGAATTATGTGTGATAGAAAGTACACTTTCGGAAGAAATAAATTAAAATAAGAAAAAAAAAACTAAGAATAATTCATTTGCAGAGGTACCTAATATTTAAGTATTATACAATGCTAACAATGCGGCTCTTGTAGCCCTGGCTTGGGCAAGGCATCCATGTGCAAAGCAGTGGTGTTTGTTTATCCATGAAAAAAGCACGCCGGGAAAGTTTGCTTACCAGGAAAAGATGACGTATCTAGCTTATGACGTATGCATGCTAACTAATGTGAGTGTGACGTCACCAAAAAATGAATATTTTCTATTATAACCAAAATATTAATAACTACAAATTTTCTGGGCGTAAATTCCCTTAATATGCCCTGAAACACTCCTTGCCATACAAATTACAGCTCCCACTTCTCGACAGCTCAGTCGAGAAATACGGGTAGCTGAAGTTTTTCTCGCAAATCTGACTACAAAACCATATCCAAATTTCACGTTCCACTTTTGACCCTGAGTTGTGCTTCGCACTCGCCGCTGAGTGCAGCGTTCCGGGAACCCTGCATCTAGATTAGAGCCAGTTACTTTTCTATCATCAATGACCTAGTGAAATTAATCTATAGTAGTATTTTTTTTTTTTGCAATTTGCTATACAATGTTTCCTCCTTTAGGCCAGGACAAAAATCTTATGAGATCATACTTATTTTTATTTTCCATGAAAAAATTGGGTTTTTTTTTCAAATAGCAAAATTTGATGGGGAGGGGGGGTGGCATGAAACTAACAATTAAATTTTTGGCCTAATCTTCTTCAGCTCTCCTTAACTTCCTTTAAACATTTTTGATTTCTTTTATCAGGATATTAATTTTTTAGTTGGCCAGAAATTCATTATGTATGACAACAATCTTATGGTTGAGAACAGCTTAGCTCAGTCGGCTAATCTGGTGGTAGCCGCTGTGTGTGCGCTGAACCGTGGAGATTTCTAGGTCCCCGGTTCAATTCCCATTGCTGCCTCTCCTTGTGTTTCAGCTAGAGGGCTGAAATACAAGTTACAATAGCACACAGTCTTTCGGATGAGACCCAGTGGCGTAGAAAAATATTTTTCATTGCGGGGGATTGGCGTGTTAGCCAGTGTCGTAATAGGCGCGGTGGGGGGGGGAAAACTGCCCCACCCCTGACGGTTTTTACCAGACTGGCCAAGCCGTCGTACCAGGCTGGGTAATAAGAGAGAAGAAAGAGGGGAGAGGGAGGGAAAGAGAAAGAAGTGGAAAAGAAAAGAAAAAGAGAAGAGAAAAATAAAGACAAGAATAAAAAGGAAGAT